CGGTGACCTATGGCTGTGTAAAAGCATCTGTGTGATAAGCAAGACTTGAAAAATAAAACCCAGTGATGATTTCAACCTGCTCTTCATTCAAGCAGGTCACCAAGGGGTGCTGATGATACCTCTTCTGCTATGAACTCAAGTAGTTTTTTGGGTTAACTTTATAAATAGGCTTAAGGTCACTTTTCTGTCTTAGAGGAAAAACAAATCCAGGGGTCTTTTCTGCCTGGATCATGAACTCCTGCTGCTCCTGAGAGAATTAAGAACATTAATTCTTTCATGCAAGCCTTCTCTCAGGGAAAGTATGACAGCATCCTTCCTGGTGTTATTTGTATTCACAAGCTCCTTTCCCATCTCCCAAGTCTCTCCTTGTCTGTTGTTGACCTATTTTAACTCAGACTTGGTTTTTCAGATTCAGTCAGACTACCCACAGTCAGGCAAGTAGCAGAAATCTCCTTTCTGAAATGTTCCCTTTTGTCCAGTCCTAAGGAGCACCTTCCAAAGGCAAAGACTCTGGGACCGTTGTGGCCATGAGCAGGGGGCCAGCATTCTGGTCAGTCCTAGGCAAGCCACACTGTGCATTTCTCTGTTCCCCTAGGGATATTTATACTTTCAGAGGAATTGACATTGTGGTGTCAATTGTTTGCACAGTGATGCTCCCCTCCTTCAGGACACACGAGTGCAACCCTTGATGAGCGGTGACTAGATCCAGGAAAATAAGGAAAGTATTTTGAGATGAGAAAGTCAGTGTGTGATCATAGCATCTTCCACCTTCATTCTCATCCCTGTACTCTTTGGAAAGAAACCTTCTCAAAGATGCTCCTCCTCCACTGTCCCTCTTAGGGTCAGCTCAGCTGTTCAAGACTATCACAGTCTCTGCATCTTTGAGTAAAAGTGTTTTGAGTCCAGTTTGAACGTGGTAGGAGATATCGTAAGACCAGACAGCATTAAGCTTCTCACCGTTTTGGTGGGTTGACAGCAGTGATGTGTCACTTTGGTCCACGAAATGTAGTGGTTAGAATCAAACAAGCACAATCTGTTGCATCAAACCCTTAACAATGAGACTGGCTTCAGTCAAAGGGTAATACAGCCCAGGGTATAATTGTTTGCACAGTGATGCTCCCCTCCTTCAGGACACACGAGTGCAACCCTTGATGAGCGGTGACTAGATCCAGAAAAATAAGGAAAGTATTTTGAGATGAGAAAGTCAGTGTGTGATCATAGCATCTTCTGCCTTCATTCTCATCCCTGTACTCTTTGGAAAGAAACCTTCTCAAAGATGCTCCTCCTCCACTGTCCCTCATAGGGTCAGCTCAGCTCTTCAAGACTCTATCACAGTCTCTGCATCTTTGAGCAAAAGTGTTTTGAGTCCAGTTTGAAGGTGGTAGGAGATATCGTAAGACCAGACAGCATTAAGCTTCTCACCGTTTTGGTGGGTTGACAGCAGTGATGTGTCACTTTGGTCCACGAAATGTAGTGGTTAGAATCAAACAAGCACAATCTGTTGCATCAAACCCTTAACAATGAGACTGGCTTCAGTCAAAGGGTAATACAGCCCAGGGTAGAAATCATGCCTATTCCAGTCAGAACCACTTTGAAGCCACCAGGGTTACTGGTAAGGATTTTAACAATCTACCTGCTAGTGTTTGTCCTTAAGCATCTTACCCAAAGCCTTTGAAAGCAGTTCCTTTCCTCTCAGTCTTCTGGATTGTACCTGACCACATGGGAAAGGAATACACCAATTTCCTACCTATTATTACATAGCTGGGACATCTCTGTGCTCATTTACATTTATTTGCCAATTAACCAGCTCCACGGCCAGAACAAGCAAGCCTCAGACTTCATATCCCATGCTCCCTCTGAGTCAGCCATGGGGTCTTCCAGGCGGGCATCTCATAAACTGTTCTGCTTCTCCTTCAGAATTCTGACAGAGATTTCCAAAATCTCTGGATTTTGGATTTCCCTTCCTCATTGAGAGAAATTCCTAATCGTCCAATTATTGTGGGCCCATGTGACCGGCCACACATATCTATAAACATCCAAGTATTATTCTGGAGTGGGAATCCCAAGGGTCAGTCTCCCCAGTGCTGCTAAGTTGCTGCAGTCATGTCCGACTCTGTGTGACCCCATAGACGGCAGCCCACCAGGCTCCCCCATCCCTGGGATTCTCCAGGCAAGAACACTGGAGTGGGTTACCATTTCCTTCTCCAATGCATGAAAGTGAAAAGTGAAAGTGAAGTCGCTCAGTCATGTCCGACTCTTCGCGACCCCATGGACTGCAGCCTACCACGGGATTTTCCAGGCAAGAGGACTGGGGTGGGTTGCCATTGCCTTCTCCATCTCCCCAGTGAGCCTTCTGTTTTCCCATTGTGTGGACTCACTTTTACTTTCTGCAACCAAAGTGTTACCCTCTAAGTGTGAAGGGAGGCTGGTTTCCAAACTGACTTTCAGTTAAGAATTTTCCATCAGTACCTCAGGCAGCTTGCTTTGCGATAGTGGAGAGGGGATTGTAACGTTTAGGGCATAGAGCAAAAGGAGCTGGCCATTGAGGAGATTTCGTTTACTGGCTTTATTTTTTTACTTGTAATATTTACTTGTTGAGTCTCAGAATATTAAGTTCTGTGCATCGTTTTTATACACCATGTTCGTTTTTAAATCTTCATTTTAAAATTAATTTTGTTGGCATATAGTTGTTTTATAATGTTGTGCTAGGTTCTACTGCACAGCAAAGTGAGTCAACTATACATACACCTCCTCTTTTTTGGATTTCCTTCCCATTTAGGTCATGATGGAGTACTGAGAACAGTTCCCTGAAATTAGTTATCTGTTTTATACACAGTATCAGTAGTGTATATATGTCAATCCCAATCTCCCAATTCATCCCACTCCATCCCTTTACGCATCTTGGTGTCCATATGTTTGTTCTCTACGACTGTGTCTGTATTTCTGTTTTGCAAATAGCATCATCTATACCATTTTCTACATTTCATATATGTGCAATAATATATTTGTTTTTCTCTTTATGACTTATTTCACTCTGTATAACGGTCATATATATATCCATTCACGTCTCTGCAAATAGCACAATTTTGTTCTTTTTATGGTTGAGTACTATTCCATTGTATATATGTAACTTCTTTATCCGTTCCTCTGTTGATGGACATCTAAGCTGCTTCCATGTCCTGGCTATTGTAAATGGTGCCGCAGTGAACATTGGAGTGCATGTATCTGAATTGTGCTTTTCTCTGTGTATATGCCCAGGAATGGGATCACTACATCATATGCAATGTATATGCTGGGTTCTATTTTTAGTTTTTTAAGGAACCTCCGTACTGGCTTTAAATGCACAGCTACAAACTGGTTTTGGATACAATGTTCTTCTTCCTTTCCCTCCACGTGCTCCAGAGTCGCCATCAAATGCCCTCGCTGAGTACCATTTCCATTCCATCAGTGATTCTGCTGAGTTGCTCTGTCTTTATTGAAAAGTCCTTTTGATATTGCAGTTATGAGGGGACTTAGATGTCTCAGTGGCAGGATATATCTTCAACAAAACCTGGTAACACATGAACAATTGACTCCTGAAAGAATTCTAAGTAGTTGCTGCATGTGGTGACTGAGAGTCCTAAATTTTCAGTATTTTATGCTGAGATTCGATATTATATTTCCAGCGAAGACTCTAATCTGCATATATCCATTTTCTGATACTTCCAAAAAGATTCTTGCTTTAATTAAAGTTACAGTAGTCACTGTGGATAGAAATCGGGCAACTCCAGAGGTTCTCAAATTGAAATGGAGCAAAAGGTGAAACTGACTTATTTAAGTGATAAGCCACTAGCGGCAAAGCCCTCTATCTTATGTGATAAATGCATCATTAGATGGCTTTTTCTTTCTTGCTCCCCAACCCACAGTTTCCTGTTCACCCTAATGCCTTCCACTGCAGCAGCACTGCATCCTCCAAGCTCTCCTTTCAGCTTTAGGATATTGCCTTCCACAGCTTCAGCTTCCTTTGTGGCTTCATCCCTTCTCAAGAGGAGGTTTGTATTAGGGACTCAAACCTTTATCTGCATCCGCCATCACTCTCTTCAGTGTTGTATCACTTGAGGGTGACCCATTACTGGCTGTCATGTCACAAACATGGATTTGCTTGTTTCCACAATATTTAAAATGCTTCAGAAGGACTAGTCTTTTTTTTTTTTTTGGCAAGGGGTAGAGTTACAATTTTGACTTTCAAAGCAAAAAATCTCCTTGTGGCTACCTTCATCAATCCCCAAAGAAGTAACACTCATAAATTAATATTCATCTCAAGAACTCTTCTCCATTTCATTCTCTTCTCCATTCCATTGCGTTTACTCTCTGACTATTTGCCCTTGATCATTTAAGCAAAGAAATGAAGAAAACAGCTTCCCAGATGGGTGATGGTACCTTTCAGCCACATGGTCCAGCCTTATTTGGCCTGTCTATTACCATGTGCTGTTTATTTATTTATTTTTGAAAATTTTAATTTAGTTAGTTAGTTACTTTTGGCTGTGCTGGATCTTTGCGGCTGCTCAGGCTTTCCTCCAGTTGCGGTGAATGGGGGTTACTCTCTAGTTGCAGTGGGCAGGCTTCTCATTGTGCTAGCTTCTTTTGCTGCAGAGAACCGGCTCTAGGATGTGCGGGCTTTAATAGTTGTGGTTCTGGGACTCAGTAGTTGCCACTCCCAGGCTCCGGAGCACAGGCTCAACTGCTGTGGTGCACTGGCTTAGTTGCTATACCGTATGTGGGAATTTCTTGGACCAGGGATCAAACCTGTGTCTCCCGCCTTGGCAAGTAGATTCTTTACCACTGGGCCTCCAGGGGTGCCCCCCACCTCCCTACACATGCTGTTTAGATGGTGCATTTAGTAACAGAGAAGAGTAGAATAACTGCCTGAGGGGTGATGACAGCACAGCAAATCTTGAATTATACACGGATATTAGGGATTAAAGAAGTATACACAGATATTAGGGATAAACACTGTGTTCTGCCAATATACTACAAATTTACTTTCAAATAGATTTATTGTAAGTATCCACCTGTACAAGACATAGATACTGTCCCTCCAAAAGTCAGTTATATAATAGGACTTTCCAGACAAAAGAAAAGAAATCATGTTGAACTTTCCCCAAAATAAAAATCTCTCAGAAATTTTATAAAGCACAAATTACATGTGCTGTTTTCTGAATAAAGAAGTATCTTGTCTCCTCAAATATAGTTTATCTATCATGTCTAACTTATGTAGTTAATCGTAAAGAGTGTCTTTTTCTATTGCACAAGCTTTCAATCATTAAGAAGTATTTCTGAAATGCCTACTATGTAATCTCTACTGTTCTGGGTGCTGGGAATTAATCAATTAATTCCATGGTGGAAAAAAACCCAAGACAGTGCCTGTTTCATTTTTTAATATAGAAATCAATATGTATGTGTAATTAAAGACACAGACAGAGATGAAATATGTACAAAAAGATAGATATCCCCAGGACTATAACATAAAGTTACAAAGCAGTGAATAATCTGTGAGTAAATTTGAAGGTATCATGAAGAGAAGAACAAATGCTTTTGTCCTAAGTGGACATCAGCATACCTCGATGCTGTCCTTATTCACCAGGTGATTCTGAGGTGCAAGAGTGCCCTGGGCCATTTCAGGGATCTTCAGCAAGAACAAGATGCATATCCAGTAGAAATTGGTGAATATATACTCAATAATTTCTATAATTGTAATCACACTGGCCCCACAAAATAGGCCCAGCTGACCACCAAGATCTGCTGTAATAAAGCCAATAAAGAAAGTGAATAAATCATGCATATTCCATAAAAAGCAAATTAAACATTACTAGATTTTAAATTATTTGAAGCTAAAAAGTTAATAATAGCTGATATTTGAATATGAGCTAATGGTATTAAATTTAGCATAAATAATGTAGTAGCAATAAATAATACCTTAAAGTAACATTCACATAATTATCTCAAAAAAGGGAGTGAAAGAAAACATAAATTCTATTTCCAAAAATATAACTCAAGGACTTTGGAGGGTATTAAATCTCAGCAAATTCATAAAACATTCTAGACAATCACAAATTCGTTTCTAAGTAAGTGGAGAACAGAATGGAGAAGAGAAATTGGACCCTAGGACAGCCTTACTGGTTAATGATATTTTCCAGAAACAAATTTCCAAGCAGTTTATGACCTCAAGTGTCCAAACAATTTCATTGTAAGCATTTGCACTATTTCACTGAACTAAGATGTATGAACACAGTACTGCCTTCTTTTTAACAAGTTTTTAAGCATCTGTAAATCGTTATTGCTTGTGCTTTTTTTGTGGTAAAATGTATATAGAATGAAATTAGCCAAGTTAGTCAGTTTTAAGTGTACAATTCTGTGGCATTAAGTATGTTTCCATTTTCATAAAATCATCACCAGCATTTGTCTCCAGAGCTTTCTCATCTTCCCCAGCAGAAACTCTGTCCTCATTAAATACTGACTCAGCACTGCCCCCTTCCTTAGTCCCTTGCACCCATCCCCCTATTTTTTGTTTCTGTGAATCTGACTCCTCAAGCACTGGCTTTGTAAATAGATTACATTACTAATGTTTTCCTCCTTGCCCTGAGCCATTCTTAGGACAGTGTTATTTTTGTAAGGTCTGGAGATGGATTGAGTATGAAAGTGAAAGTGAAAGTTGCTCAGTGGAGTCCAACTCTATGTGACTCCATGGATAGTTCATGGAATTCTCCAGGCCAGAATACTCAAGTGGGTAGCCCTTCCCTTCTCCAGGGGATCTTCCCATCTCAGGGATTGAATCCAGGTCTCCCACATTGTAGGCGGATTCTTTACCAGCTGAGCTACCAGGGAAGCCCATCCAAGAGCGTTGAGGATTCTGCATTGTGTTGAGGAGGTTGGCTCAGCCACCAGGGTTTGACCGTGGTTGCTTAACCTGACTCTGATTCCTATTCTGTCTGTTCCACAACCTCCTCTGAGAGACAGTGAGATCTGGAATTCAGCAGTTAAGTTTGCCAAGGACTGAATGATGGAGGAGCATGAGCAGGTGGTGGTTGTAATTTAAATGCTGATTTTACTTGTTCAAATTCTTTGCAGACCAGTCTGGGTGGAATTTGGTGCAGAGGTCAGTGACACTGATATTCGACCCAGACATGAGGTTAGATACATCTGAGTGAAGGAAGATGCTGGGTGACCATGAGCCCATGTCTGACTCTCTGCAACCCCATGGACTGTAGCCATCAGGTTCCTCTGTTGTCCACAGTTTTCCAGGCAAGAATACTGGAATGGGTTGTCATTTCCTTCTCCAGGGGATCTTTTGGACCCAGGGATGGAACTCATGTCTCTTGAGTCTCCTGCATTGGCAGGCGATTCTTTACCACTGTGCCACCTGGGGAGTCTGTGAACCCTGCCTCATTTGTGAGCACCTTGGTGCATTTGCTGGAGACATGTCCAGGGACTAGAAAAGTATCAAATTTACATGGCAAGTGAGTGACAAGCACCATGGATTATTTTTCTCTGTTGATAAGCTGAACCTTAAATATGAAAGGAAAATAAACTGATAGAAATTTTTTAAAAGTTGAGGAACAGACATTTCTCCAAAGAAGACATACAGATGGCTAACAAACACATGAAAAGATGCTCAACATCACTCTTTATCAGAGAAATGAAAATTAAAACCACAGTGAGGTACCATTACACGCCAGTCAGGATGGCTGCTATCCAAAAGTCTACAAGCAATAAATGCTGGAGAGGGTGTGGAGAAAAGGGAACCCTCTTACACTGTTGGTGGGAATGCAA